AAGTGCTGGGATTACAGGCGTGAGCCACCACGCTCGGCTGAAAATATTTTTTTAAGCTGATATTTTTAATGTGTTTTAAGCAGAGATGGCAGATTCGAAGTACATGACCATTATAAGTATTGATGATTGAAAGAAATTCCTTTTGTTTTGCCATTTTCTTAAAAGACATTAAAATAAGCAATGTTGAATTTGGAGAAATGGTTTTGAATATTTGTGGGGGAGTAGTAATCTTATAACCTGTATTGGGAAACAACTAGAACCAGGTTGTTAACTACTTGGTTAACTGGATACTTCAAATTCTAGGATGAAGAAATTAACCAGCAGAGTCAACTGGTAGAGAAACTGAAGACGCAAATGTTGGATCAGGAAGAGGTGAGTTGAGTACCTTTTATATTGCTTCCAGAAAAGCTTTATAGTTTTGGTTTCTGAATCCCATTGACTTTGTCTTTAGTAGTTGTATAATTTTGGGTATGACTCCCTTTGTGGGAATAAGAATGTCACATGGATAAAATGAGTTTTTACTCGTTCGTCGTATCTACCCACATAAAATCTGTTGTTCATTTCTGCCATCGTTTTTTTCATCCTGGTTCTTGACTTTTCTCTTCTTGTCACCTACTTTGGATTCTCATTTTACCTTCTAGCCTAGCAGAGCAGGGGGATAATTGAAAAGCAGTCCTTTAAAATTTTTCTGTGGGAGTGGTGTGTAGGTTGAAGACAAAGACTGCTTCAGTAAGAAGGAGATACTCTCCGTCGGTGAACTTAATCCTGGTCAGATCATCTTTCAACTATAGCATTTTGTATTTCAACTATAAGTGCATTATTCCTCAAAGGGGCACTATTGACATTTTGCATTGGATAATTTATGTTTTTCTGTCCTTTGCATTATAGGACATTAAGCATTCCTGGTCCCTACTCCTAAATGCCATTAGCATTCTACCCTATTATTAACACTCCCACAGATTTCCAGGTATCCCTACAGGAGAACCACTAATGTGGATGATTGTGGTGTTCTCCTAATCAGTCTCTTGGTGTCCTTGCAGTTCAGATTTTGTGCTGATACCAGGTTTTGTTTTTGTTTTTGTTTTTGATACGAAGTCTCACTCTTGTCCCCCAGGCTGGAGTGCAGTGGCGTGATCTCGGCTCGCTGCAACCTCCGCCTCCCGGGTTCAAGTGATTCTCCTGCCTCAACCTCCCGAGTAGCTGAGATTACAGGTGCCCGCCAGCACGCCTGGCTAATATTTTTGTATTTTTAGTAGAGACGGGGTTTCACCATGTTGGCCAGGCTGGTCTCAAACTCCTGACCTCGTGATCTGCCCGCCTCGGCCTCCCAACGTGCTGGGATTATAGGCGGGAGCCACCCCGCCTGGCCCAAATCTAAATTTTTAAGCAACTCTTGTAGAATGCTGTTTTCCTTTATTACATTAATTTGCGTGTGACTGCAGTCGATCTCTCATAGCCAGCTTCTCCATGAATACCCTTTCCTGTATTACTAAGCATTTTATCTGTCCTGTCCCTCTCTTATGGTTCTTACCTTCTATCTTGTATTGCACTTATTCATGTACCTATCTTCTCTTCTACTGTGTTCCTTAAACATACAGTCTTTGATTTTCTTTCTGCCTTGCAGCATCCAGCACAGTGCTTGCACATAGTTGACATTTAGTAAACCTGTTTAATGAATAAATGTTGCCACACTGAATACCATCCATATTTCACTCCGTTTGTTCTTGGCAAATGGTGAAGCTTCATGGGTGTTTTTTAAAACCTGCATACTTTTGGGGAAAATAAATTATTTTCTGTCCTGTAGCTTTTGGCATCTACCAGAAGGGATCAAGATAATATGCAAGCTGAGCTGAATCGCCTTCAAGCGGAAAATGATGCCTCTAAAGAAGAAGTGAAAGAAGTTTTACAGGCCCTAGAAGAACTTGCTGTCAATTATGATCAGAAGTCTCAGGAAGTGGAAGACAAAACTAAGGAATATGAATTGCTTAGTGATGAACTGAATCAGAAATCGGTAGGATATAGCTTTATTTTCTTTTTTAATGCTTTAGTACAAGTATTCTTAACCTAAAAACTACTTAAGTAACTTATTTCTATGTAAGTCAAATATCGATAACATCAATTTTCAAGGACTCGGGTTTCAACTTCTATTCTTTCTGTATATGAAGCCTTAGAGGTGGAGGAAGACAGTTATCTTAGTTCCTAAGGTCTGTTAATATCTAATTTAAATGCTATTTTAAAGGATGTTTGCTACTCCTAGTGTTTAATTTTTTTAATTTAGTATATAGCATGTGGAACCTAATGTTATTACTAATGTTAAAGGAAAAATAATTTAAAGCTCCTAGTTGCCAAGTAAAGCTACTAGATGATTGTTCAAACAATAAATTAAATATGCAATACAAATTAAAATGCTATTTAATCAACTATGTGAATTATTTGGAATAGATGTGAGGATATGTAACTTAATACGATTTATGTTTTATTTACTGTTATATTTCCACTACCTGGAGCAGTGCCTTCTTAGCACAGTGTAGTTGTGGTTCCCCAATAGATGGAGATTTTTACTTGCTAAAAATTGATACAGGAGAGACATTGCCAACCTCCAACAGTGATGGCAGAAATAATATCTGTGATTGTTTCAACATCATGAAGGAGCTATTTTGTGATTTTGTTGTGGTTAATGCTAGCTTCTTGTTTAGAAATCAGCATCTAGAGTGGCACTCAGGACCCGTGTCCACCCTTTATTTCCCCACTCACATTAACTTGTCTAGAAGAAAGCAGTCAACAGTACAAAATAACACTTTTAAAAGGTTTCCTGCGCCCCTATGAGTTCCTTTTCTCTTTTTAATCTACAAAGTTACATTTAGCTTGAAGTTAACATTGAGTACTGTAGAGATCCAAGACACCATTATAACTAACTCTTACTGAGTTGCATTATTAACAAAGCTAATTGTTGTATGAAAGAATAACAGGAGTTTCTTACAACTCTGAAAGGTGGTCCTTGGCCACTGATTTTGGTCTTAAGACAGCTATATATATGTGTTTCACTTGTGGAGCTGAAATCTATCAGCATTACATTGATAATAGGAGTTAGAAATGCCTAGTGTTTAGCATCTATTTATGTGCTTAGACAGTGTTGCTGTTTAGTTGTTAGAGAAAACGGTAATTTAAACAATTATGGTAGAAGCATGCTATATTATACGACTTGCAAGATAATTGGTATCATATTGTAGATTAACCTGGGTGGATACACACTCTACTGATACTCAGAAACTTAAGGAAATGATAAACTACCATAAGAATTAAGCAGTTGGAATGATGGCATCTTTCCTAAAAGATACTGATGAAAAGTCAATAAATGGCATTAAAAATACAGTACAGTACAGGCATTAAAAATAAGCCCCACGCTTTTCAGATTTTGGAATGTTTGCATTATACTTACCACTTGAGCATTTCTAATTGGTAAGTCCAAATGCTTCAGTGAGCATTTTCTTTGAGCATCGTGTAAGCACTCAAAAAGTCCCAGATTTTGGAGCACTTCGGATTGGGGATGCTCACCTTGTATCTAATCTGCGATATGAGTTATTTTGAAGTGGGCCAAACTGGGTTGGACTTTTCAAAATTTGGTGATTTTGTAGCTGGTAAGCAAGCTATGATTTGAGATTTATAATTATAGTCATTAAACAGATAATATTATTTTATCATGATCTCCTGGATAATTGCTTGTATCATAGTATTGTCACATGGATTCTTTCCAGTGAATAAGTATATAGAAAGTAGATGAAGAAAGCATACTAACCATCTAGAAAACAGTGTCATTATAACGTTAATTTGCTGACTCACTTTCTAAAGATAAGACATAATATAGTAATAGATGATCAAATCTAGTTAAATTTGAGGCTTCCCATTTTTTTAGACAGAAAATATTATTCAATCTCAGGAATTTAGTGAAATAACAACACAAACTGCCTGCTCTTAATGGAAAACAATGTGGCTACTTTTACCATAGCCAATTAGGTCTAAAATATTTTTTAAGTTTGAGCTGGGAGCCCAAAACTTGGTAGATGGTTCAGGAAAATGAAAGCAGAAAAGGCATGGTTTTGTAAAACCATGTGTAAAACTTGAAACATCTGTGAGTATTTGATTTGAGTGTTCATGTAGATTTAACTATACTTTTTGTTTTGGGTTCTCTTAGGCAACTTTAGCGAGTATAGATGCTGAGCTTCAGAAACTTAAGGAAATGACCAACCACCAGAAAAAACGAGCAGCTGAGATGATGGCATCTTTACTAAAAGACCTTGCAGAAATAGGAATTGCTGTGGGAAATAATGATGTAAAGGTAAATATAATAACTAAATATTAAGGACAATTTTCTGTATACACTTGTACTTTTGTTTACTACTAATATGAAGTTCTTTTCGTATTCATGATCTCATCCTCACAATCAGTCATGTGTAGTAGGTGCTATTAACTGCATGTTAAATAGATCAGGAGGGAGCAAGAGAATAAGGGCGCCCAAATAGATAAATTCAGTAGGTGGCATTTATTGGACCTCATGTTTGATTCTTTACTATAACATTTTCCCCAACCTGGGCAATGTGGCAAAACCCTGTCTCTACAAAAAATACAAAAATGAGCCTGGCATGGTGGTGTGTCCCTATAGTCCCAGCTACTGGAGTGAGAGGATTGCTTGAACCTGGGAGGTCAAGGATGCAGTGAGCTGCAATCACACGACTGCACTCCAGCGTGTGCAACAGAACAAGATGCTGTCTCCAGAAAAAAAAAAAAAAAAGATTTAGCACTTAGAAATTACGTTAGTAAATTTCCATAAGTGAAATGATTGGAACAACAATTAAGATAAGTTCAGGGACCAGACATAGTGGCTCAAGCCTGTAATCCCAGCACTTTGGGAGGCCAAGGCGGGAGGATAACTTGAGCCCAGGAGTTCGAGACCAGCCTGGGCAACATGGCGAGACCCTGTCCCTACAAAAAACTTAAAAATTAGCCGAGCATGTGGGCATGGTGATACGTACCTGTAGTCCAAGGTATTTAAGAGACTGAGGCAGAAGGTTAAGGATGCTGTGAACTATGTTTGTGCCATGGCACTCCAGCCTGAGCAACAGAGTGAGACCCTATCTCAAAAAAAAAAAAAAAAAAAAATTAGCTCAGGGAATACATTTATAATGAATGGGCTTGTGGTTGCTTTAAATATTTAAAGAAAAGTAAAAGATGAGCACCGCTTTCTTAATTCTTTTTTATTTTAGTGTGAAAAATTGCAAACATATAATAGTAGAGAGAATAATGTAATGAGCTCCAGAGTTTTCAGTTTTCAAAATATTGCCATATTTTCTTTATATCTCTTTGTCCTAATCTTTTTAAGAATGCTAATATTGGTTGTTAGCATCAGGCATGTGACTTGGTAAAAACTAAGACCAAAGAATCAAACTAAGACTCTTAACTGAAAAACCATGCATATAACATGAAAGATTTGTACGTTGCAGTAGCTGTTTAGACTTTACCTTTTTGATTCAAGCCTAATTACAATAACAGAGAACATACACTTGGGTTTATATTGAGAGCCTTCTAAAAAGCCCAGTCTGTTAACCAGAGTTGGAACTGAAATAAAAGTTTTGACAATATGGAGTACACATTTCCGTCTGTTGTATTGTTTGATGTTGCTGTTTGCTGTTAACTGATTCTTCAGTTTAAAAATGAAGAAAAAGTATTTTAAAAAATAGAAAAAGAATAAACTAAAATCAAAATAAAAGTTGCTGTTTGTTGATGGAGGCAAGGATTCTCATGACTCTTCATATGTTATTCAGTGTACTCACTTTCGGGCCACTTGACTTGCTTTCTTTTCACCATCAGTCTAAACATTTCTGCCCTGTCCTGTTTATGGTGAAGTAATGTGAGATGTAGAGTAATGATGTGAGATGGAGAGAAATCTCTACGATGGAAAAGTACATTTATTTTATATCGCAGAACACCAGAGAGATGATGTTCAAAATTTGCTTTGTAGGTTTGCAACTTTTCAGAAAAATCTTACATTTTATGTTCAAATAATTATGATTTAAGTCAAAAAGTGTCGAGAGAGAGTGGAAATGGCTTATGTTTAGTGGCAGATGGATGAAATCCAGGTTCCCTGACCACTAGATTTTTTTTTTTTTTTTTTTTTTTGAGACGGAATTTTGCTTTGTCGCCCAAGCTGGAGTGCAGTGGTGCTTGGCTCACTGCATCCTCCACCTCCCAGGTTCAAGCAGTTTTCCTGCCTCAGCCTCCCGAGTAGCTAGGATTACAGGCGCATGCCACCACGCCTCACTAATTCTTTGTATTTTTAGTAGAGATGGGGTTTCACCATGTTAGCCAGGATGGTCTTGATCTCCTGATCTCATGATCCACCCACCTCGGCCTGCCAAAGTCCTGGGATTACAGACGTGAGCCACTATGCACGGCCATAGATTTTTTTTTTATTTCCCACTATACCATAGCATTTTGGAAATAAGTCATCTTTGCAAATAGCTATTCTGATTTAAAAAAAAAAAAAAAGGATCCTCAGTATTTTTGTCATTAACAAGTAATTCTTTTTCTCTCGTCATATATAAGTCTGTTAGAGTGCTACTTTTTTTTTTTTTGAGATGGAGTCTCGCTCTGTCGTCCAGGCTGGAGTACAGTGGCGTGATTTCGGCTCACCACAACCTCCGCCTCCTGGGTTCAAGTGATTCTTCTGCCTCAGCCTCCTAAATAGCTGGGACTACAGGCGTGCACCACCACACCTGGCTAATTTTTGTATTTTTAGTAGAGATGGGATTTCACCATATTGGCCAGCCTGGTTTCGAACTCCTGACTGCAGGTGATCTGCCCGCCTCAGCCTCCCAAAGTGCGGAAACTACAGGCATGAGCCATTGTGTCTGGCCCTATTGCTGAGTTTTGTTTTGTTTTGTTTTTGTTTGTTTTGAGATGGAGTCTTGCTCTGTCACCTAGGTTGGAGTGCAGTGGCACCGCAACCTCCTCTTCCTGGGTTCAAGCGATTCTCCTGCCTCAGCCTCCCGAGTAGCTGGGACTACAGGCTCCCACTCCCACACCTGGCTAAGTTTTTGTATTTTTAGTAGCAACAGGGTTTCACCATATTGACCAGGCTGGTCTTGAACTTCTGACCTCAGGTGATCCGCCCGCCTCAGCCTCCCAAAGTACTGGGATTACAGGCGTGAGCCACCTTACCTGGCCTCCTATTGTTGAGTTTTAAGAGTTCTTCATATGTTTTGGATATAAGTCTTTTATCAGATAGTGCTTTGCATTATTTCGCAGTTTGTGGCTTTTTTTACTCTATTAATTGTCATCTTTTGCAGACTAAAAATGTTTAATTTTGATGAGGTACAACTTACCAAGTTTTTCATTAATAGATTGTGGTTTTGGTATTGTATTTAAAAACTTATCGCCAAACCCAATATCACCTAGATTTTCTCTTATGTTAAAGTTTTCTTTTAGTTTTGCATTTACATTTAGGACTGTGATCCATTTGTAGTTAATTTTTCTGAAAGGGTAAGGTCTGTACCCAGGATTCATTGTTTTACATCTATCTGGATGTCCAGTTGAAGAGACTATCCTCTCCATCAAATTCCTTTGCACCTTTGTCAGAGATCAGTTGACTGTATTTTGTGGTTTTATTCCTGGGCTCTTCATTCTGTTCTGTTAACCTATTTATCTGTTCTTTTGCCAGCACTCTACTGTTGTGATTATTATAGCTTTACAGTAAGTTGCATAGTGTCAAGTCCTGTGACTTTGTTCTTCCTTAGTATTGTGTTAGCTATTCAGGGTCTTTGACTGTACATGTAAACTTTATCAATCATATCATCTGCAAAGACAGTTTTATTTCTTTCTGAAAGTTAAGGAATATACAGTGACCACAGTTCCTTTTGGTTGAGCTTAAAGGTCATCCTTTCCCCACCACCTAAATATCCTCTTGTTAAATTTTAAGCTGAACATGTACATGATTAACAGTGAATTTCCTGAAGAGGTCCTGTGAAGAGGAAATAAAAAAATTGAAAGAGGCAGAATTTATTAGTTTGGTTATATTTTTGTGTTTTCCTTAGGTTTACATTTATTTATTTTTCTTGTTGGCATGTATTAACATTATTTTCAGTTTAAAAAAAAAGTAAGGAAAGCAAAAAGTAAGCTGTGTTTATTTACCTTTCATTGAAAACAGTAATAAAAGAAAAAAATAAGATCCAGACTTTGTATGAATATTGAGTAATACTAAAATATATTTTATAAAAAGATTTTACAGGCTAATTGGGAAAACACACATTGAACATTTTTTTGGCTTTAATTTTTTATTTTACTTTCTCCTCACAGCAGCCCGAGGGAACTGGCATGATAGATGAAGAGTTCACTGTTGCAAGACTCTACATTAGCAAAATGAAGTCAGAAGTAAAAACCATGGTGAAACGTTGCAAGCAGTTAGAAAGCACACAAATTGAGAGCAACAAAAAAATGGAAGAAAATGAAAAGGAGTTAGCAGCATGTCAGCTTCGTATCTCTCAAGTAAGTTACAGAACAAAATTTATTTTTTGAAACAGCCACATAGAAATTGTATTTATTGTACAAGTTTTCAGAAAAATGTGTGTCTGTAGGTGAAATTTAGTTGTTTTTTTCCTAGTCTAGCTGCAGTAAATTTGAATGATTTAACTGAGTTATATTTGCCTAGTATAAATGTGGGTTATGTATAGAAATTTACCAGAAAGATGTGACTGGTAGTAACTTGTTAAAGACTCCAGAATTCCAGGGTGGGCAAAACTGCAGGGAACCAGTTTCCTGGCTTGGCAACTGAATGAATGGGGCCATTCACCACAATCGGAATTTCACAAACAGGGAAGATGATAACGTTAGATGGCGGTATCTTTAAAATTAGTATTTCATATTTGAGTCTTCAGTGCCTTAGTTTGCAAGTTACGATGACCATTTAATTAATTGATTAAATTCTTTAACATTTCAAAATTGGCTCCTGAACATTTTAGGTTTAAATATTCCCAAGTTTATCATATATAGTTAATAAAATGTTTACTGTCAAATATTCTGTAAAGTGTATGCATGAGATATGTTTTCCACTTCATACCAGTATATTTTTTCCAAAAGCATGAAGCCAAAATTAAGTCATTGACTGAATACCTTCAAAATGTGGAACAAAAGAAAAGACAGCTGGAGGAATCTGTCGATTCCCTCAATGAAGAACTAGTCCAGCTTCGAGCACAAGGTATAACTCCCAACTGTTTATGAGTTACATCTATGTTCTTATTTTAGTATAATTGTAGTAAACTTAATATTCACACTGACAGAATAGTAGGGATATGACTGACTTGGAATGCTAAACAAATTATACATATTAATGTTGCTTTGAAACATATTTTTTTTTGCTGTTTTGAGACGGAGTCTTTGCTGTGTCACCCAGGCTGGAGTGCAGTGGCGCTATCTTGACTCACTGTAGCCTCCATCTCCTGGGTTCAAGCGATTCTCCTGCCACAGCCTCCCTAGTAGCTGGGACCACAGGCACATGCCACCATGCCCAGCTAATTTTTTGTATTTTTAGTAGAGACGGGGCTTCACCGTGTTAGCCAGCATGATCTTGATCTCCTGACCTCGTGATCCACCCGCCTCGGCCTCCCAAAGTGCTGGGATTACAGGCATGAGCCACTGTGCCTGGCGAAATTTTTTTTTTTTTTTTTTAAGATTTTGTTTGAATTTGGAAATAGCCAATCTGGGGATTTCCCACAGTTATGAAGGTGGGGGGGGGCGTGTGTGTGTGTCTGTGTCTGTGTCTTAACATAGGGGACTTAGGAGTTACCTCATTTCTTTACCATTCCCTTAACTGTTCTGGATTAGGCAAAAAAAAAAATGAATAAACAAAGGAATACATAATACCAACACAATGGATATGACTTGTATACTAGTCTACATGTCATTGAACTGGGAGAGCAGGTGACATTTGGGTAATCTGAAGTCGAATATTGCTAAGGAAAATGCTTATTGTAAAATCCATTTGCTCCTTGGTTTATATGAGGAACCTTAAAGGCTTATTTCACTCTTCTATTTTCTCTCTATTCAAACAGAGAAAGTCCATGAAATGGAAAAGGAGCACTTAAATAAGGTTCAGACTGCAAATGAAGTTAAGGCAAGTTTGATGTCACGTATCTAATGACTTTAATTCATCAGTATTAATTTTGATTAGTCTGACTTTAACATCCTTTTCCCCCTCAAAATTTTAGCAAGCTGTTGAACAGCAGATCCAAAGCCACAGAGAAACTCATCAAAAACAGATCAGTAGTTTGAGAGATGAAGTAGAAGCAAAAGAAAAACTTATTACTGATCTTCAAGAGTAAGTATTATACTTCTCTAGTTAGACAGGAGGAAAGAAGCAGTTACTGATAGACACAGTATATTCTTATTAGAAACCTGCAGTTTTCATCAAAATTACGTTTTTATCTTGGAAAATAAAGAATTTTCTCATTTATGAGTAAAACTTCTAAATTCCAGGTGAAATTTTTGAAACTTTTTTTTTTTAGATCTTTTGTTCTAAATTATTCAGTAAAAAGGAAGAAAAAAAATCCCCAACCTAAGTCCATTATTGCAAATAGATACCACAGTCTCCTCCAAATCCTTTATTTAATTTCCTTTTTTTTTTTTTTTTT